ACTGCAACTCTCTGACTCTTGCTTGGTCTCCCTGCTTCCAGTCTGGCCCCTTCGTAGTGGCTAACCTGAGGGTCCTTAACAGAGATCTCACCATCCTCTTACCTTCTCACAACACTAGATGGCTCCCCATCGCCCTCATGGCATCCAAGGCATCTGATGACCTAGTCCCAAGCCCTCTCCAAACCCAACACTTCTGCCACAATGCACCTCATCAGCCACAAAGGACATCCAGCTCTTCCCAATGCTCCACATCTGTTCATGCCATTCTTTATTCCCCAAATTCCAGTCCCTTCTGCACACCTGATCCAGACAGCCAAATTCCTACTCATCCTTAAAGAACTGCCATCCTCCAGGAGACTTTCCATGATCTCTCCATGAGTCAGACCTGGCTCCCCTGGTTGACCTTAGGGCAGCACTTAATGCATGGTTCATTGATCTAAGTCCCCAGAATTGCCCAGTTCAGCAAAGGGAACAAAAAGTGAACAGCACTCAATGAATGAGACTCTAAAGCTACACTGTCTAATATGCTAACCACTGTTTACACGTGGCCCTCTGCATTTACATCTATCTAAATTAAACATTAAAAATTTAATGGCACTAGTTGCACTACAAGTACACAAAAGTTACATGTGGCTAGTGTGGCTACCATAGGGGACAGGACAGATATGGAATGCTTTCATCACCCTCAGAAAGTTCTATGGACACTGCCCTAAGGAAGCTGGTGGGGCACCAGGAGACCCAGGTTCTAGCTCCACAGCCTCGCTCCTAGTTCACACTGAGGTTAGACAAGTCCCTCTGCTTCTCTGAGCCTCAGTTTCATCATTGATGCAGGCTGTCCCACACACTGTGCAAGGTGAAGCCAGGAAGAGCTTCACAAAGACCTTTCAGTTGATTCTGTCACCCACTTCTTTGGATCAGGCCCATGTGGACCTGGGCAATCAGTTGAGCAGGTGAAATCTTTACCTGGAGGCTGAGGGACCTGCCTGACCACCTTCAAGTTCCAGCAGCTCCAATAAAAAACCCAGAGTCCAGAGCTTGCCCAACAAGCCTTCCAGGAAGGCAGCCCCGAAGAGGGTACAGCTAGTGTGTATCTCTCCATCAGCTTAAGCTGGTCTGCATGGGCCTTAAGACCCCTCACTTATCCTTCCTGGACCTAGAAGAGACCCAGGCAGGGCCCGGGGAAAGAGGCAGCAGCAGGGGGTGGTCCACAGGGGAGGGGAGGAGTGGAGAGTGAAAAGTCAGAACCGCACTATCAGCACTGCCTGTCCTCCCCACTTCCTCTCTTTGAACGGATCACATCCTGTTATTGTGTGGACAGAGAAGGCCAGGAGCTGGGGAGGAGGCAGGACTCAGACCAAGCAAGTGGAGCAAAAAAGCAGGAGCCAGAAGAAATTCCATAGTGGCATTTATAGCTCCAGTAGCAAAGCTGCCTGGCCCTACCTGATCCCAGGTGCCATGAGCAGAAGTACAGGATTCAAGAAGGACAGCATGCCCAAGGCAGCCTGCATCTGCCATTAAGATGCTGGGGCTCAGGACAGGAAATGGCACCTTCTCCTGCCTCCTCCTCAGGCCCCTTCAGTCCCAGAAACTCTTGCTCAGGGCTTGTATGGCTGCAACTAGGGCTCTCACAGCCATTGGGCCTCTCTCAAACAGCACTTGCCTTCAGGTTTGTATTCTTTGCACTCTACAATCACTTCCACTTGCCCCTGTAGACAGGGACAAGGTGGACTCACACTGCCTCTCCAGCCTGCTGAGCAAGAGGCAGGCCCAAGGGAAGTCTTCCTGCTGTGGGTGATTAAGTCACTGTATTCCCTCTTTCTCTCTTCTGCCATTCCCAAGAGTAGCCCCTATTCTGATCCCATTTCCAGGAATAATAATAGCTACTTTCTATAAACCACAAGCATTTTCCATAAATTATTTTGAAATCCTATGACAGCCCTGGAAGATGAGTGTTAAGTATCTTCACTTAGCAGATGAGGAAACTGAAGCTAAGAGAGTTAAAGATACTCACCCCAAATCACATAGCCAGTGCACTCAGCAGCAATGTTAGAACTTAAACTCAAGTAACACTGACCCTAAAGGCCTGTCTCCTTCTATAGCCCAGCTGCCTTTCCTGTTCACACCCACCCAGGCCCTGGTTCTTCCCACTATGAACTGTATCCCATTGACTGTTCAACCATCTGTTCAACCTGTCCTCCAGCTGGTCTGCTGCTCCAAACAAGCTGTCCCCTGGTCAGTGAGTTATCCCTGGTCCTGGGCAGATTCCTGCAACAAGCTGAGCTGCTGTCCCCCAACAGCATGGCTGGGGCCCCTCTGCTCTATGACTATCAGCTGCCTATTCACTGTCTCTTCTTCCTTCCCAAGAAACCTGGAGCTCTAGCTCTGGACACAAACCCAATTTTACATCTCAGGTCCCCTTGGTCAAGCCCCTTTCCTTCTCTAAGCCCCTTGTCCTCCTTCCCTGGCTGATCATGATGTACTCAAGACTGCCAGGGCTCTATAGCAGGACACACACTTGCCAGGCTTACATGGACAGTGGGGTGGGAGGGCCAGTGCTAGCTGCTGAGGAAGCATTCATTGTTTTGCAAACAGGGAAGAGGTTGGTGGGCAGGCCTGGGGAGGCCCAGCAACTATAAATGAACCAGATAAACAGCAACCCCCACGCTAGGCTTCATCACTCCACACCTGCCCCACCAGGCCTAGGATGATAACAAGGCTGCTGCACCCTAGCCCCAGAAAGCAAAAGCCCTCTTCCCTCTGCCTTTCCAATAAAAGAGTCCAGGGCGGAGACAATCAGCCCAGAGGTGTGGTTTCAGGCAGGAGGCCCTGAGCAGGCAGGACTGTGTAGGAAGAGCTCGCCTGCAGCCAGTCTCCACTCTCCTTCCCGCTGGCTTCAGGCCGGAAGTAAGAGAAGGCACACCAGCAGCTCTTCATGCAGCGGACAGTGAAAGGAACCTGTGCCAGGTTCACCAGGAACACCTCACAGCGCTGGGCAAAGGGTGCTCTCTTCCTCAGGGGGCTCTGTTTCAGTGAGGAAGCAGTTGAGTAGACAGATATAAGTATTAGACAACGTAGGATGGAAGGGGCCACAGTAAAGGAAAGCATGTGGGGACAGGAGGCAGCTGGCCCCATGGAATCAGGGCTGCTTCCTCAATGTTCAGGAGAAGTCAACCAAATGAGAGAGGGGTGGGAAGAGAAGAGGGGTATGCTATTCTGAGAAAAGAAACAAGGTACAAAAACTGGAAGGTCATAGAACAATAAAGTAATGTGGTCTGAAACAAGATGGAGGATAATTCAGTAGGAGCAAAAACAAAGGAGAAAACAAGGCTAGAGAGATCAGCAGACCATTGTGGGTAGGGCCCTTCCACTCTGGGTCAGCAGCCCCAGTGCCTCAGAGACGGTGTGGTCCTGAGAGGCAGAAGGCTTGGTCCTGCCTGCCTGCCTGTCACCGTGGGATGTAGGGCCCTGGAAAGATTTTCCTATCAAGGCCGGTCTCTCCACCCAGACATGTGGCTACTATTGCAGGTACCCTACAAGGGCCACACCAACCTGGATAATCTGTAACCTCAAATTCTCTCTTGGAAGCCACACAGTTCAAGAGCATTTCCTCCTTTCATGATAAGGAATGCCTCCGCCCTCCTGGGGAAAATCCATCCAAAACCAGGTGCTCCTCTCTTCCCTATCCTCAGACCAGAACCAGCCATCAGGCTATTTCTCACCTAGTCATCAATGGTCTGCATGTTGCTAAACCCAATCAAGATGTTCAAGCCTTTTCTTGCATGGCCACTCAGCTGTGTTGAACGTGGCTAACCACTTCCTCCACCTCAAATTCTGTACCGTTCTGTGTTAGTCACCAACATTTCTCTTTCTTCTCTGTCACAGCAGGTCCCTTCATCCTGCTGCTCCTCAGGCCTGCGAGCCCAAGATCCATGGACAGCACCACAGGACCCCCAGCTGGGACCAAATCTCATCATCCCCTCTACCTAGGCACTACCTTGTCCTGGCCAGGAAGAGGTGTGCTTAGGGTCTTCCAAAAACCAGGGGGCTTCCCCACAGGCCAAAGCATGACTCCCGAGTCTGTCCTGCCTTGGCAGGTTGAACACTCCAAAGGCAGGGACAGCCAAGGCCAGAGCCTGGCAGAATGAGTGAAGTTCACTGTAAAGGAGCCAAAGTGATCTGTGAGACTCTCAAATGCCCCCTTAGCATAGCTTTTTGCATTCATGTTAATTACTGATTATGTTACTAACCTGTTTACCACAGTTGTGGTTTTATTGTCACTCCTGCTAGAATTTCAGCTCCAGAACAGGGGTCTTTGTTCTATGTTGGATGCCCAGCCCCTAGAACAATACCTGGCCCACAGCAAGTGCTCAGTGAATGCTTTTTAAATGAACTACTGAAAGGAAGCACACACTCAGCTGGAAGTGCCCACCCTTCTGAAGTCCCTGAGTATCAAACAGTCCACATGCATGGGTCTCCTAAGACTCATAGTTCCTGCTGCAAACCACATTTCCATCCCTAACCCTCTAGGGAAACCCTCCCAGGTCCAAAGGCTTTAGCCTCCACCCATGAATTCCAGTCCTCAAGAACAGTAGGGCCATAGAGCTCAGGAGCTGCAGCCCCTGCTGAATGATCAAGGAACATGGGGCCACCTATGTTGACACGTTAATATCCTGAACCTACCCTGGAAGCAACTGCCCCAACCATGAAGCTGAGCTACCACAAGAGGGGGGCTCTGCTGGAACTCCCCCAAACCAAAAACAGGATGCTGAGGAAAGAGGTCCTACGGTGAGGCTGGGCAGGAGGGGAAGAATAGAAACCCTAAGGAAGGACCTCCCTCTTCAGCAGCACCCCAACCCTGCCCTCAGGTGGCCTGGCTCCCACCTCTCAGGGCGTCACCTGAGTCCTGGAGACACCCCCACTTTAGAGGAGGCACGTAGTTGCCAGACCTTAATGTTTTGATTCTCAGGCCTAGAAGCATAAAATGCAAACAGACTCCAGGCCCCTTTGTAAAACTTTTATTTAGAAATCTTCTCCATATAACCTTATATATGTACACACATCATCAACACATGGGTTTGTTTGCTAAAGAGTCACACGCCCGTAGTGTGTTGGTATCTGGGCGTACAAAGGTCAAGGTACCCGGAGCAGTTACTCCTCTTCTGCAGAAAAATGCAGAGACCAATGCAACTCATCACATACAGTACAACATTGACGGAAAGTGCTGAGCCCACTCACAGAAACTGCGCTATGTACATGGGCAGGGCAGGCCTCACATCAGGGTCAGTACCACTGAAATCACAAGTACAACTAGACCCACCCAGGAGCCCACAATGCTGTCGGCTGACTACAGACACCTTCTGTTTTATTTCTGGAAAAGGATAAAGGCTGTACCATCTTGTCATTTACCACTACAAATGAACAATATGAATTCTTCTTAAAAGATGGGATTCCTTCCACATTCTCTTTGTTCTCCAAGTGGTTTTTTCCCTTTACATTTTTCTCTTTTGTACAGATACTGCAGATATTATTCTTGGAACATTGCCATTTCTTCATGGGCAAGGAGAAGGCAAAGGAAGGAGCAGAGTATGAGTTATGGAAGGTGAGAACAGAAATTAGGGGCCTTGGTTAGTTCTTTCAAAGACCTAAAGCCTCTTCCTTCCAGGTCCTGGGCCTGTGGAAGAAGCTGATTACCTTCTATATAGTCTGCCCACGTTCCCGCATCTCTTTCCCATTCTCACTGCTCTCCCTCACCTTGGAATGGGACAGAAACGAAGACAATCTGGAGAAATGAGGATCTAGATAGCTCAGGCAAAAGTAGTTTACAACCTAAATTAACCAAATGCCAACTTCCCAGGGCTGAGAACCACCCTGCAGGATTGGTACCAAAGGCAATAGTGCTTTTTTGTTTTATTTTAAGGGAGAAGAATTGGGGATTGAATCCAGGACCTCATATGCTAGGCAAGTGCTCTGCCTTGAGCTATACCCTCAGCCTGAAGAAGAGCTCTGGTATGGCCTCAAAAAAACACTTCCACTTTCACAATTGATGCCCTAGGAGACAGACGAAGCCAGGGTAATTATGAGACTCTGACACTTAGAAAGATACCTATCCCAGTCACACTGCAGAAAAAGGAACCAGAAGCTTAAGTCCTGAGAGAATGTGTGACCCATCTCATAAAACCCATCCATTCACTTGTAACTGCTTTTCATTGCTAACCAAGCTAATCAACTAAGAACCAAACACAGCCTTAAAGCCTAGGGCAGCTGCTCCATGTTTTGTTAGTTACTCCATGTTTACAAGGGTGAGACTCCTCACGGGATCTTCTAAGCCCTGGAAAAGAACCAACCCTCACATTTGTCAAAATATAATTTTGAGAGTATGAAATGAGATGTAGAATCAGAGTGCTTCAGTGGTTTGCAGTATTGTCCCCAAACCCAAGAAATAGACCTCACAATTTAAAAGGAAGGGGAGAGAAGCTGGGACCCCGTGTTTGCATAGGGCTGTACTCAAGGCTCCATCACAGCAGGTGCAACCACTGGGCTGAAGCTCAGAACATGATAGGCTTCTGCCTGGTAGGATGGGGCCATCAAATATTTTCCCTCCGACCTCAAGAGCCTTGTAGGCGAGGGCTGCAGTAACTTAAATACAATGCCAGATACACAGAACTTCTGTGCAGTTTATTATATGGGACTGGAATGCATCTCAAGCAGGCCTGGCCTTAAGAATCGTGTCCCTGGGTGGGCATTGTGGCACACACCTGTAATCCCAGCTTTTGGGAGGCTTAGCAGGAGGACTGTCATGAGTTTGAGGCCAGCCTGGGCTACACAGCAAGACTCCATCACCAAAAAAAGGAAGCAGGAAGGAAGGAAGGAAGAGAGGGAGGGAGGGAGGGAGGGAAGGAAGGAGGGAAGGAGGGAAGGAGAGGGAAAGAAAGACAGAGAGAGAGCAAGCAAACCCCACTGTCTGAATTGACAGAGAAGGCAAGAAGACAGTGGTCCACATTACAAAAAGATTCACTTTACAAAAGGACTTTCAGTAATTATTTCTGTATAAGATGAAGAATGAGGATTTGATTTACACAAATTTCCTGTACAACTTTCGGAGTGGGCACTCCTATTGAATTAAACCAGCCTCCCACACCATATACACCCCGGATGACCTAAAGCTGCACAAAGGAAGGGTACTTAAGGTTCTGCTAAGTGAATGTGTGTATGTTTGGGTCTTAGCCAGGGCCTGGCCTCCGGTTGGATTCCCCAGTCGCTTCTAGAAGTGGGGCTGTGTCCTGGGTCATATCAAGACCTAAAGATTCCACCAATAACAGAAGTCAAGCAAAAGTTCCAAATACAAAAAAAAAAAGGTCATAGGACAGAGTTTGTGCTCAATTCAGAAGAAAGAACAGACCGTCAGCAGACAGACATGTTGCAGCAGGGAACTCCCTCCAAGCATCTCAGAGAACACACATAGGCCTCACATCTCAGCAACAGGTTCCCAACAGCACACTGGCATTTGCTCAGTGGCATGAACAGTGACCAGTAGGAGTTGAAGCCCACATGCCCAAAATATTTCTTGCTCCATTTCTAATATCATTTTCCTTTTCTCTGCCTTCATACAAAGCCCAACAGGGTATGTTCAAGGCTGTACACTCAGTTCCAACAGCCGCAGGACAAGAAGGCAAGTTTTATTATGAAGAAAGTAGAGCTCTGATTGCCAGGGCAAAAAGTAAGGGCTCCTGGGTTTGCTGACCCTCTGGCCCAGGTGAAAGCAGTCTGTCCACTGGCCATCTTCTTCAACCAGGCCCTGAAGAAGGCACCTCGAGGCTTGGGACTCCCCGCAGCAGCTGGCAAGCTGGATGGACCAACACGGGCCTGGGTGAAGACAAGGCTCAAGAAATGGGCAGCTATTGGGTACCTATATATTTGGACAGAAGCGGCCACAAAAGCCACCCCAGCCAACTCAGGAGGGGCTAAAGGCAAGGCAGAGGCTCCTTGGATGCCTCAGGTGACAGCTGACAACCCCAGGTCCCGGCAAAGACAGGGTTCCCAAACTTCAGGTCAAAAGCAGGGACACTTAAGCCTCTTACTTGGGAACTCTTAGGGATTGTGGAGAGGGGGGAAACCGTGCCATCTTCAGAAAAAGTACCTACCACTTTGCTCCATTTTCCTGTTCTCCTACTGAGGCAGGAATAAGAATCTCCTACTGAGCAGGGATATCCAGGCCCAGGGACGTTAGGGCTTCCCAAAGTTCAGACTTCAAGGGGAGTTCATCAAGAATCCATTGCCCTGCTTCTCATCCCACCTGCCCTGACACCCACTATCCCAGTGGCCTGGGGTCCCCTCCTGGCCTGTCCTCAATGCTCCCAGACCCATCACCGGGGGCCGGCCCCATCAGTGGCAGGCAGCAGGGCAGGATGGAGGCTGTGGGCCATATGCTTGGGAGCTGGCTCCTCCGTGTAGCTGTCCGGGCTGGCTGCCCCGTCCAGGGAGCTGCCACAGCTGGAGTTAGGGGAAAGCACATCCTGGAGGAGGTCATCAGGGGGTGCGCCACCCCCTGCCCCACCACCACCACCTCCCCCCACGGGGTCCTTGCCAGGCTTGGCCCGTTGGGTGCCCTCCTCCTCTTGGTCATTAAGCAGCTTGGCCAGGAAGTTGATGTACTTCATAGCCAGGCGGAGGATCTCATTCTTGCTGAGCTTCTTATCTGGGGGATGCGTGGGAATCAGCTTTCGAAGCTCAGCAAATGCCCCATTCACATTCTGCTGCCGCCATCGCTCCCGGCTGTTGGTGAAGATCCGCCGCACAACTTTGGTGTGGGGACCTGGAGGTTGGAGGACACAGGTCAGAAGAATGGTCTGCAATTTAAGGGCTCTCCATCCACTAGGACACTGGGGAGGCCCAGATCGCCTTCTTTCCCTTACTCAGACTCTAAGCCCAGTTCACGCGTCACCTTCTCCTTGCGCTCTTCTTTCGACTCTCCCGACTACCCCATTCAAACCCCATCCACGGCCCTGCTACCCCTTTATCTCCGTCACTCTTCGTTATTACGCATGTATGGCTATTCCCTGAGATTCTGACATTTGAGGACTGGGACCGTACATCACCCATTCAGGAAGTCACTTGTGCCCAGAGTCCTTGTAGAGCTCTGCAGGAAGACAAACCAGGCTCTCCGGGTATGGCTCTTGACCAGTCCTTCCTAGAAAAGCACTCCTGGGGAACGTCCTTGGACAGTTTATGCCTGGTTGCCTCCTCTGCAAGTAGGCAGAGTACTAGTAAACTTAGGGTTATTACAAGATGATTACATGAGTCCAATGCCTCCCCCAGATGAAAGATTTAAGACAATGCCTGCCTCCACTTAAACATTCAATACATATCAGCTATTACTGTCATCAGTGTTTTACTCACAAGGCAGGCACTAAGAAATAACAGTGACTAAAACACAAGGGGTCCCTGCCCTCATGGAGCTTACATTTTAATGGGGATGAAAGATGATGAACAAAAAATGGGGGACCAAAAATGGAAAGGAGCTACTACACTTAGCTAATATGGCCAGTGAAGGCCTTTCTAATGATATGACATTCATAAGGTAAAAATTTAAGGTTAAAGCAACACCAACCAGGCACAGGGGGGGAAGGGGAAGAGTGTTTAGGCACAGAGTATGGCATGTGTAAAGGCCCTGAGGCAGGAAATAGCCAAAGCTAGCCTGGCTGTGGGTGCAAGGTCAGAATAGGCAGGGCCCTCTGTAACCACTGGACCCAGACCTCAGAATGTGGAGACTTGGGGCAAGATGGAGGGAAAGGAAAGGGCTAGGATTGTATTTAAATCCCACTGCTCATTTTACAGCTAAGGAGACAGCATGGGACAGAGGTAGGCCTTGCCTCAGTGGTCAATCTGGGACCCAGGTCATCCACGCTGACACTTGATGCTTTACGGTCCCCCTTTCCTCTCTGGCATACACACACACACACACACACACACACACACACACACACACACCCCATGTTTCCCCAGAGAGGATCACTTAGCCCCTGTGCTACCTCTGAAGCTGTCTTTCCAAACCCCACAGGCTCCAGCCCAGAGGACTCTTAGCCAAAGGCCAGGCCTAGGCTGGGAAAAACCACACACCTGTGGGCAGTTCTGCCCTGGGCTGCCTCAGAGAAACAACTTGCTGCTCTCAGGCCTGCAGGTCCCCAAGCTGTGACACAGGGAAGACTGGTGATGTGGTGAGCTTGAGGGAGCTCACAGCAGGGGAAGGGAAAGGGATACTACAACTGTTGTTCCAGCTAGAGCCAGACAGCCTCTGGGAGCGAGCAGTGTGGGGAGCCAAGGACAGATTCCAAAGCTCACATTCGATGTTAGGAGAACAGACCAGGACTCAGCTGTAAGATTTTAAGCAAGCTACTTAATCTCCCTGAGTCTCAATTTACTCATCTGTGAAAGAAACAATTAATATTGACCTCAGGGGCTTGTGGACACACAAAGTCCATGGCATATAGTAAGTGTCCTGAAAGCAGTAGCAACTATTGCTATTACCCCCCCTCCCAAGGACTGTCTAAGGCCTGCTAGCAAAGTGCTGGGTGCTAGGAGTACAGTTGTGAATGAGACACACAAAATCTCCGTGTTAAGGAGATCCCAGTCTTCAACGGTGGGGACTTACTGTCCCCAAGACACAGGAAGGAGAAGGAGGAATGAGTACCTACCCCAATCCAGGTCCTAAAACCACTTTAACTCATGGTATTCACTCAACAACCTGGGAGGAAGCTGTTATTCTCTACATTTTACACCCAAAGAAATTGTGGCCAGAAAAAATTGAGCAACAGGAATCCATATCAAGCCCCGACTCAGGGCTGGTGATGTAGCTCAGTAGTAGAATGCTTGCTTAGCATGTATGAGGCCCTGGGTTCAACCCCAGACCCATACAAAAAAAAAATAGTCTTGACTCTGGAGCCTGCATTGGTTCCACTTCTGTGGGCTCCTTTGGGCTCAGTCTCTGAGTTCAATGCCCTACTTCTTCCCCTTTACCTACGCGTCTGCCTATTCCTCTCTGACCCCTCCCTAGAGGACCCTTCCTTTCCTTTATTAGTCTGTCCATCCTTTGATGTCCTCTGTCTCCCTCTGGCTCTGAGTAGGTGCTCCAAATACACACACAGGGTATATTTATGGGCAGTGGCCTTCCCGCACTCCTCCTGGACCCTCCTGCTCTGTCATCTCCTCTGCTTCTCCCCTGGGAAACTCCAGGGCTGCCCGCACCACACCCACCCACCCTGGGCTGTAGAACCCTCTCTCATCAGCAGCACTCTATGGTTGCTAGACTCACCTCTGAAGCTCAGTCTCCACACACAGCCCTTCCTACCAGCTCCTAGTATTTGGCCCAGCCCTCCTGAGGTCTCAGTGTTCTTCTACAGAGCCCCAGGACCTGCTCACATCCCTCAGCTCTGAAGAGCCTGTTCTGCTCTGATGGTGAGCACAGCAGGTCAACCCTGAGAGAAGGGCAGGGATCCCTGGATCTCCCATCCTTCCAACCCTTCCTGGAAAGCTCAGGGCCAAAGAATATTAAAATACTGTAGTTCTCACAGTAGCCATGCTGAGTTCCCTTTGCAGGAATCAAGGGACGAGGATAGACTCTATAACAATGGGAGGAACTCCTGGTTCTAATACAGAATGGGGAACAGGGTGTAAAGGGACAATGTAGAATCCAGGAGAAGATCCCGGAAGGTGCAATGCCAGACTCCAAAGATGACATGAGGGTTGGTTTGGGGATACCTTAAGGGTCAGAGGTTGGAGTCCATTGTTACCCTCTTCTGGGATCCCTGCCAGAGTGTAGGAATGGGCTCTGATAGGGACTAGAACTGACTACAGTTTTGGGCTCAGTGCCACTGTGTGTCCCTCCATCTCCCACATCCCCTCTTCCCAGGACTGTGAGTGTAACCCTCTCAGCTCCAGCTTGGGTCCACAGTGAAAGGCTTTGGCATTTTGGCTCCAAAATGGCCTGCCCACTGTGTGAAAAGTTTACACAGTCTGGATATCCCTGCCTGCAGAGGGCTCTAACCAGTGTGTGGGAGGGGGACTCACCATCTGTAATCTCCATCTCATAGGGAGAGGGTCTCCTCTTCACTCGGTTGTTTGTGGTGAACATAGGGAAGGCATCAGGCTCCCCAAAGAACCCGCTGTGGAGGGAGCAGGCAGATCACAAGATCATATATAGGGCAGAGAGGAGAAGGGGACTCCTTAGGGATCCTCTTGCATGTTTGGAGTCCCCCACCCTTGGAAGGCAACCTTGGTCCCTTCACACTAAAACTTGATATAAGGGGAATTCACACACACACACACACACACACACACGCACACACGCACATCACAGACAGACACATTTGCCTCCCCCACAGGCAAGGATGCAATCTGCAGACTCAAACACACTTTCAAACAGGTGCCTGCGCAGGAAGACATGGTCTTCACACCTCACGGTGTTCAACTTTGGCACCGAGGGGCACACAGTCCACTCCCACCAACCTCACCCCACCTTCGAGGGCCCTGGATGGACCACCGCGCTGACACTCTGACTCCCCACCTCCCCGTGCACCCCAGGACTTTCCTACAGACCCGCCCCATATCTCCCCCACAGCTTTCTCACTGCGGGTCCCACTCTCTGAGCCTCACCTTCCCCTCCCTATCCCAGTGCCCCAGGACACTGTCACCACAGTGTCCCAGCGCGAAGTCACGATGTGCAGGCACAGCTAGGGCCAGGGAGGCTGGGCGCCAAGAGGAACTTATCTATCACTCCTCGCCACTGCAACGCCCCAGACCCTTCTCTCTCGCCTGTCCACCTGGGGCTGCAGCTTCCGGAATAATTCCACATCCAGTCAGCAAACAACCCTCTGCGCACAGCTGAGCAACTGCAGACTCATTCTCCCCTGAGACTTACACTCGGGGTACCCCGTCCAATCTCCACCACCCAGCACACCGTGCAGCTACTGTCACCCCGCCACACACCCGCCCCTCAAGCGTGCGTCCGTACACACACACACTCCCTGCACACCGCACGTCCTATCAGTCGCTGCCAGTCTCTCCCGCTCTCTCGGCTCCTTCCCCGCTTGCGCTCGCGGGCTCCAGCTCGCAGTCTCTGCCGCCCAGGGGTGCAGAAGGGGACCCTGGCGGCCCTCCGCCCTCTGCCCTCCCCGGGGGCTCACCTTCCCAGAGAGGCCAGCGGCTGGCTGAGGCTGTAGAGCAGCGCGCGGCCGGGGCCGGCGGGGGCCGCCAGCACGGGCGGGCTCAGCTGCACCATGCGGCCGTCGCCAGGCAGCTCGGCCTGAGTCGAGGCAGGAGCGGGAGCCGGGGCGGGCCCGGGAGGTCTGCACAGCTCGGTGGTGGGCACTCGATGGCGCGCTTCGGCCGCAGCCTCGTCTCGGCCCTTTAAGTCCCTGGCGGCGCCGCCCCCACCGGCGGGGCCGCCCCCCGGCCCGCCCAGCTCGATGACCGGGGGCTCTGCCGGGGCCGCGCGGCTCGTCTCCTTGGCGACGCCGTTCAGCAGGACCAGATGCGGGGGGGCCATGCGGGCCTCGGCCGCGTCCCGTCCCTCTAGCGGGGGGTCACTGCGTGCCGCCTCGCTGGGCGGCCGCTCGGTCATCCTGCGGACAGACGGACAGTCAAGCGGACGCCAGCTCCGACAGCCGCCCCGGCCCACTGCAGAGGGGACTCAGGCGCTGAGAAGGAGAAGCGGCCCAGAGACTCAGCGCCACGTGGACACGAAGCTCGGCTCTCCGGGCCTGAAGGCCGGCTGCCCCTGGGCCAGAGGGAAAGGGGGTCTCTCCGGACTGGGGAAAGGAGGGGCTGTATCGGAGGCACGGAGACTGAGCGCCAAAAGGACAGAAATAAAGACAGCAGAAACGTCGGAAGAAAAGGAATATGGCCCGCGAAAGAAAAACCGCAGGGAATAAAAGGAGGAAGGAAATGCAAAGAGAAGAGAAAGAAAGTTGCCCGGACCCCCTTAGCCACAAGGGAAGAGGAGGGAACAACCCCCGACTGTTCTCTTCCCGCCCCCACCCTCCCGCTTTTGCTTTTGGCGGGGAATCTGTCAGAAAGGGAAGGGGTGGGGTGGTTTTCACCTCTCAACAACACCCCCCACCCTACACCCCACACACATCACCCAGAAACCTGGTGGAGGTGGAAGTAGGGAATGCAAGCTACAGGGACTTGGGTCCTCTTAGCCAGAGCTGGCAGAAAATAATCCAGAGGAACCAGTTCCACCCGCCCCATACACACAAATCCACCAGCTCTGAAGGATGTCTGGCGTCTAACGGTGCTGAGTACATCCACTTTATATTTATTCTGTGCACTGCTGTTTTACTTCTCAGACAAGAGAGGAGAAATTATCAAGGGAAGACGCTGATCCTGGCACTGCCACCCTGACTCCACAGATTTTTCCTCCGCTAGACTCAGAAGAAGTGAGGCCAGGTCTGCAAGGAAGGCCTGGCTGAGGCAGTATAGAGTCCAGACGTTCAGAGTGCTTCTGAGGACATGCTGTCTGGCCTCTCTTCCAAAATCAGGAGGAGGTGTCAACAAGGCCCTTGAATTCTTCCAGCCCCCCGCTCAACACACACACACCTTGGTTTATGGAACTCTGATCCCACTTTAACTGTGTTATTCTCATTTATACAGTGGAGCCCAGAAACTCCTTTCCCCACAGCCATATTCCATGATGACCACTCTACTTCCCACAAGCATGCTAGAGTTCTCCCACCACCTGGCTTCATCCACATAGAACCAAGCCCCACGGGCCCTGCCGCCACCACCTGCACCATGAGACTTAGGATTCAGAGACTGAGGAAGCTTGTGAGTTGCTTTAATAAAAAAATACAATGAACTCAACAGGCTTCATAAATTATTATTAAATAGGGTCCTATTCTCAGAATTATATAATTGGGGTATTTTAAAGTGGAAGAGATTCACAAAAGTGCAATTAAGCTTCAAGGTAAGTCATCTAATCAATTCATCACAGCCAGCAAGCTCCTATTCTACCACTACAATGCTCTGGACCAGAGTCCATCTTGGAACCATGCCTTTCATTCCAGAAGGGCGACTACACTCCTCCACCTACAAAACTCGGCTCAATTTTGAGGACATACTGCAGCATGCAGAGGACAGAGATTCAGACTGCACACTGCTCTGGGTCCTACAGCTCCCACACTACCTGGAAATGACAAAATTCCCTAAAACTTGGCGTACCCAATCTGCAAAAACAGTGAGTCTATGATGCCTCCTTGAAAGCAAGTTTACAGTTACAGCAGAGACAAAAGGTCTGTATCCACAGAATACCACAGCCAAGACACCTAGGCCAAATGAATGGAAATGGATGGGAAGTATACTAGCAATCTTAGTTTCCCTTCAGCTGATGAAATGTACCCGAAATATATCAGGTCCTGGAGAAATATACAGGGGAGGTGCTGGCTCCCTACTTCTCTATTACCACCAGCACCGTGGATTCAAGTACAGGTGCCTCAGCCTATGGTTCTAGGTTCTATGTGTGACAAACAATGTGCAATGCAATTCCAACCGAGCTCAAGCTCCACTATGACACATTTATACCTTCTGATTAATTCCACCCTAGCAGGAGAGGCAGGTTCCCAAGGGGCAAAGGGAATCACATATTCTAGATGAATTGATCCTGGCCCAAAATGGTCTCTCCAGATGCCTATAAATAGCCTTCCCTCCAAGGCTTCTAGTGAAAAATACAGATTGGCCCTCCTGGAGTCTATGGTAGACTTCTCCTGTCCCACCTTACGAAAATCCAGTCAGCTCTTCTGAGCCCAGGATCAACCAAGTCAGTGGTCCATGCCAGGAGGAAACCACCAGAGGACTCTTGCAAGCACCTGTGGTTGTCAGACTAAACTGCATCTCTTGACTTCAGTTAAGTTTACTGAAAGGAAAGCCTGAGTAGCTGTTATCTGCTGCATTTGTTTTAATTGGAGGAGAATGGAGAAGGGGGAGATTTAGGACTGAATGGCGTTAGACTAGAATATTTAGAGCTGCAATTCTCTTTGTGTAGCAGAGATCCAGCTTGCTTCCCTGACACCCCCAGTTACCAGTGGAGTGGAATGTTTCAGTGTGTGCTGAAGGAGGAGATCCGGGAGTGCCTTCTGGGGCCAGGCAACAGGGTCTCCAGTAGTTCTCAATCCCCGGGGCAAAGATAATTTCTTAGATGAAGCAGTGGCTCAGCCACTGCTTTCGACCTGGCCTTGGGTCCCTCTTAACCCACTCACAGTGCAGGACACCCTGGGGGAGCCCCAAAGTTGCACCAAACCAACCCCCAGTGTTCTGGGTGCTATCCAAGCTCAGGGAGCAGAGAGGTGTTTCAGCCCAGTCGCCCTAGGCCTCAGGCCCACCCAAGCGAGGGCTTTGTGCTGGCCCGGATGACCTCGGCCTTCTTCCTGCTGAACTCCAAGCAGTGTACAGTACCCGGATACAGCCACAACAAAGTTACCGACCTTGAGGAGCGTCCACAGATCCTGACTGGGAGAAGGACAAGGAGGACCTACCATAGTCCAACCATCTGGTTTCACCACAGGCCAAAAAAATGGAAAGGGCCCGGTTGGAGGCCGTAGGCAGATAAGGGCAGTCAAATGCTGGATTCAAAACCCTCGGATGGCCCTCTCCTTCCCTAGCCTCAGTCTGAGATTGGGTCTCCCCTGTCCACAACCCCACCCCCACCCCAGGTGGGAACCCCAAGGACTTCCTGGACACCCTTTCCACCATATCACCACCTACACCACCCTTCAAATACTCACCTCGGGCATATTTAGAGAGACTGGCCCCTAGGAATAGGACCTGCACTCTTCCGACCGGGAGGGGTCCAGGCTGTGCGCCGGGTCTCTGCTTTCAGAGCCTCTCTAGCAGAGAGGCCAGCAGTTAGGCTGCGGTGTGGTCCTAGGCGGTCTGCCGCGCCCAAACCAGTTTCCAGGAAAGATGGGGGTGGAGAGAAAGAGGGAGGGCAAGAGGGAGGGCGAGAGAGAAATGGGGGTCAATGGCTGGGAATTACCTCGGGTCTCCTGCCAACCAGCCTGGGGAGTAGCTCGAACCGCTTCCTGCCCCCACCCTGCAGGTGTTTAGAGACTCAATCCCACCTCGTCCCTGTAAAAATGAACACTACACCTGACCAATCAGAAATAACTTTAGTCCAACAAAAACAACCCTTCCCTGCGAGATGCCAAGAACATTTTTGAACCCTGCAACTGGGGTCGGTGTTGTTCAACACAGCCGTTTGATTTCCAAGCAGGGACGTGTCTACGCTCTTTTCTCCTTAACCTGAGCCAGGCTCCAGCAGTCACCACAGCGCGACAGTCGAGGGGTCAACCCTGGCCTGAGGTGGAGGGTGGGGGACACGTCCGGAAAGGTGGATGGAGTCTCCAGGCCCTGGTCGCTGCGGCAGAACCTCAGAGCCCCCGTCCCCAAGGCCTTTGCCTTCCTCTCTGGACCCCCAGCTACCCACCTCCAGCCCAAAGCGAAACCAGAACCCCGATTCCAAGGGTCGTACTTCCCTGCAGGAATGGAGTGGGGGTGGGGGGAAGGGACAGAAAATCTATTCAGGTCCTTTCTTTTCTTCCTATTGACAGAAAGAAGGAAATAAAGAAAATGCAGAAAATAGGATGAGAGAGGAAAAAACGGAGAAAGAAATAAAGAAAAGAAATCCCTTACCTTTACTACCCGTACAAAATGATTTTCGATTTTTCTGTTTTAAACAGGCAGAATAAGAAGGAATGCTAATAAGTTGTTGCAGTAATAAAGCAAAAGAGAAAAAGGATAAAAACAAACCCGACACTGCTTCCAAGGGTGTAGCTGTGTTTAGTTGCTTTTTCTCCCCCAGGAGGTTTTAATTTGTTTTTGCCTAAACGTCCAGTTTATGATCGTACATCGAAGTCTTGAATTAATTGAGAAGGCTTCCTTATTTTGGCTGAGTCTTTTGTGGGAATATAGGAATAATTTTTCCCTGGTTGTCAATCTAGTGCGGGAGGTTTTTCTTTCTCTTCTAACCCAAATGGTGGGAGGGGAAGAGAGAGGGAGGGAAACCCACCCATTCCTGGGGTTGGTTGGGGTTAGTGCTTGCTTATGAAGGTATTTCTGTCTGACCCTTTCTCCATTTTCTCTCCTTACCCCAAACCCAGCAACTTAGAAAACAGACCAGGGGCGGGAGGGGGCGAGTCCTGTGCTGCTTTGTTCTCCCTCCTGGGGAGATAAAGTGACACGCTGCTCCGTTTGGGGGCTATTATTTTAATTAAAATAGGGTGTTAATGATAGTGGCCGTGATGATGACGATGACATTAACAACTGGCAAAACAAAATCCTTTCTTCTTGAGCCAGGCTAGCATGGACCCCTTCCCTTCAAGGAGCCTGACTCGGCTACGGTCACCCGTTCGACCGGCATCTGACCCACGCGGGATGCGGCTCCTGAGGAGCGGGTGGGAAATGGTCCCCAGAGGTGATCTCCAGCCCTCCACCCCTAGTGGCGCAAGGCCTAGAAAAGGCATCCATTGTCCTTACCCGGCCTCTCCCACAGCCCACCGCGGCCGCGCCGGCGAAACTGACCAGAAATGGGCGAAGCCGAAGTGCGGCGCGCACTGCAGACCCCGGCTCCGGGCTGGCAGGCGCGGGGCTCCGCGGGCTCTGCTCACCCGCGAGCTCTGCAGCGCCTCTGCTCTCCAGCGCACCCTTCAAAGGCCGAGGCACAGCCCGGCGCCGGACACAGCGACGGCCAGCGAGGGTCTGTCCGCCCTTCCAAGCCCACACTGTCTCCCGAATACATCATAATTTGGAATAAAATGTGAAACCCCGCTCCCCGCCCTCACGCCGACGCCCCCACTAGCGCCTCGGTCTCTCGCTCGCCACCCCCACTCCCGCCCCCAGCGATTTGCAAACGCACCTCTAAAGGACACAAGCACACAGGCACGCAACTCAGTGCGGACAGGACCACACAGGGTCCAGCCTCGCAGGAGGGAGGCACACAAGCACAGCCCAGCCCTGTCCCACGCGCCGACATGGTCAGCAGACCCGTGCTGTCCAACGCGACACAACGAAATTGGTCAGCGCAGTCGCTCGCGGACACAAAACCCGACACGGTCAGACCACACACGCCCGACAGAACAACGAAACCACGCACGCACAGTCGCCGAGACCCTCGGCCCCACACAGACGCTGACTCCCGCTGAGAAAAGCAGCGGGCGCGATGACACACATCGAATACAACGCAACAGGGCCTCGAAGGGGCCAAAGCCACACACCCAAACAGAGCAGCCACCATCATACTCGGACGCGCGACCAATCGCCAAAAGGACCACACTCGGGAGCAGGCGGCCTTGCCGCGGCTCACACACGTACACACACTCACGCACTCTCACAATCCCACCGCATGCACACAACCACCAAGAAGGAATGAAAACCAACCACCGCCTCGCGCATTTCTGTATATTGCGTAAGGAAAAAGGGGAAGGAAGGAAGAGAGTCTCCGAGGCAGGAGGGGCCGCGGCGCCGAGGGCGGAGGTGTCGGTGGAAAATGCCCCCCATCGAAAGGCGCCCCGGAGAGGAGCGCGGCGTCCCCGGCGGGTGCGGGAAGAGGGAGGAAACGGACGCGGGATTTGGTGGAGGAAGCCGCTTCCCCTCTAGAAAGAGAACGAATGCTCACGTTTTTCCGAAGGGGGTGCGCGTGTGGCCATTTTGAGGCCGCTGCTGGGGTGCGGCGCCCGCCCCCACCCCCGCGCGCGCCCCCCGCGCCCCCCGCGCCCCGCCCAGCCCGCGCTCTAATCCCGCTCACGTCCCAGCCCTCGTTAGCATGGGCCGAGGCGCGCCGGGGCCGTGTGCGCCGCGGAGATAAGGCACTGCCGCGGGTCCGCCCGCCCCCGATAAGCGCCTCGGCCATTATGGGCCAAATGATTCATTTTAATTTGCCAATTTCACCGGAGGGAATGGAGACTGGTTGTGCGGGGCGCAGGGACCGGCTCCGAAGAAAAGTGCCGCAGAGAGAACTGCGCGCTTTCTAGGGCCCAGCGGGGCAACCCCCTTCCTCATCCCCCAGCTCTCAGGAATCCCCGCACCCCACACAACCTCTCTCACTCCCTCTGCCTTGCAGACACTGTTTGCCTGGACTCTGACCCCGACACTTGGTCCGTGCCTCTGACGACCACCCGGACACCCAAAACATCACCTGCCAACCCCTCTTCATACATTCTTTCTTCGGTGTCCTGGACACCCAGATTTCAAGGGACCTTATCTCAGAAAACCCCTAGCTCCTCGCTGACCCTTCACTCTTCAACCTTGGGCCCTTTCTGCTCGAAAATAGGGCCAGTATCTCAACCCCAAAGGGCTCTGTGGGGACTAACTTGATGTCAATGCGTGTAAATGCCCCTTTGCTTGGGCCCAGAGCCCAAGAACACCATTCCACCCTCCTCCCATAATACTTTTAATCTTGCTACTGAAGCACTATTCTGAGCACTCTTAAAAAGCTATTTTATCTTAAAAACAGTTCTGAGAAATTGGTGTTGTAAAAAAAAAAAAAAAATCTCAATTTACTGAGGCTCCGGGTGTAAAAGTAACAAAGTTACATTTCTAGTGAGTGGTTGGAGCCTGGGTTTGAAGGAAATATGGCCGAGGAGTCTTCTTTCCCCCTGAGCAGAACAGCAGCCACCAGAGCCCAGACTGGGATGAGGGCGCCGGGCTCAGCTCATTTAGGACCAGGATTTGTGCTGTAAGGCAGAAATCTGAGTTCAGTGCCAACCCGGTGACTGGGGCTCCACCCTGGAGAGTATCTAGGTTTATTCTTCTCTGGTGGAGTGGAAAGAACACAGGTTCAAATTTTAGTCACTTAGCTCTGAGACTCAGTTTTCCTCATTTATAAAGCAGAGATAATTTCTACCTCACAGAGTTTCAAGGATAAAAAAAATAACCTTTTAAAAAAGGGGGAACGGGTATGTAGCTCAGCAGTGCTGCACCTGCCTGGCCAGCGTAAGGCCCTCAGTTAGATCCCCGGTACCAAAAAAAAAAAGGGGGGGGGTGTTTGGGGGGGTGATAATGGATAATGTATGGAACTTCACCCAGTCTGTAGTCCAGAAAAACATTATATGCATTTCCCTGGGAGATCTGGTTATCCTTGTAGAAAAGGAAATTAAGGCACACAGAGATGGGATGCTGCCAAACTCAGTGATCTAGCAGAGAGGCCAGGACCCAAGGTCCACCGTCCCGTGACCATTCCACAACTCTACTCATCCTGCCAGGCTACTTTGTCCCTCTAGTATTTCTGGTTTTGGCTCTTTTCAGAGTCTGAGAATGTAGGAAAACCCCTAGTCTGTTCAGAGTGAGATCCAGGTAAGGACTGACCTAGTGGGTGGCCTCAGATGGATTTCTGGCCCCTCCTGGTGATTGAGATGAGTCGCTGGGAAGGTACAGGAATTCAGTGCAGCCTGGCCCTCTGGTCCTCTTGTGTTCTCTGATGACAGGCTGACACATGGATACAAGCAAGTTTCACAGAGTCCCATGGTGTAAGAGCCACCTGTGTCCTGAGAGTCTAATTTTCCCACCCCATCCTGCAAAGCCATTGCCTTTGCATGGCTACATCACGTAATAGAAAGAGTAAAGGGCTGCCACTTGTGGGCTGTGGGACTCTTGCCAAGTCACTTTCATGCAAAAAGTAACTACCCTTTCCTAGGTAGGCAGTCCAACTGAGGGCTGCTTCCCTGAGATGAGGCAAGGGCTGAAGCAGAAGGAGAATAAATTTATGAAACAAACAGAAAAGGGACCAGTATGGATGGATCAAGCCAGTGGACAATTTAAAGAACAATTTTTGGAACAATTTTGCCTATTTGCTTCACAGTGTCCTATATAGGATCAGATTTGTTTCTCTAGAAGACTCTGGCTGCGGTGTGAAGGAGGGTGTGTAGGTGAGGGAAGAACCCTGGGGCACCAGGTTTGGGGTGGAGGGATCAGAGCTGACAAAAGTGAGGACAGGAGGATGAGGACAGCATGTTCCTAGGGTGTAAAGCTGGGTTTGTAGGCCATCCTGGGCTACATAATGAGTTCAACACCAGCCTAAACTACATAGCCAGACCCTATCTCTGGAAACCTAAACAAATGATAAATAAAGCTGTGTTTGTAAGAACTGGGTTTGGGGCAGGGACATGGAGGAACCCAGAGAAACCCTTGGTTTTCTGGCTGTCATGGTGGGCTCTGGAAGCCAAGGGGAAGGGATTATGGTTGGGGTGTGTGTGTGTGTGTGTGTGTGTGTGTGTGTGTGTGTGTATTTTCAGTGCTGGGGACTGAATCCAGGGCCTTACCTTCTCTACTACTCAGCGACATTCCCAGCCCCTACACGTTTGGTTTTGAGTTCCTTGAATGTAGATGCCTTTGAGGCACCTGACTTGTACTGGGCCTGAAATGACCCTGCCCTACGCCCCCACTGGCCATGGTGACAGAGTAAGTACCTATGGGAAGGCTTTTGTCCAGCCCAAGAGAGGGTGTGCCCAGGCGTCCCTCTGCGGGCAGGGCAGCGGCCTCCCCCGCCTCTCTTTCCACCCAGAGGCTCTTCTGTCCGGGCGGGGCGAAGTTCCCTGACGTTTGGCAGCCACCTGACCTCATCCCCAAACCCCGCCTGGGGCTGGGGGCCCGTGGCGTCTACACCCTCCCCCTTCCCTGTTTCCGACAGTGGGTGGAAAAACGGAAACTGAGCGCTAGCAGGGCGCCGCCCGAAATAGCATCTGGTGCCTGTCGGTCAGCGCGTTGTCCGAGAGTCCAGGAGCAAGAGACTCAGCCTGGCCAGGAAATGGCACCCCTCCTCCTCCGCCCCGATGGGGCCTCGGTCAGGCAGGAAACCCGGAGCCGGGTGGGGGTGGCGAGAGGCTAGGAAGCCTGGAGTCTGGTCCTGGAGGGCTAGGCTTTGGCTGGGGCCTTCATTTCTCACCACCGCTGCCCAAGTCTGGGTTCCCTACATCCCAAAGCAAGGCTTTTCACTTTTTCAAGTGCATCTACCTACCCGTCTCTGGGTACTGCACGATCTGATCTTGCCCTTCAGGAGGATTGGGTTTGCTCCAATCTGATGGGTAGTCGGCTTTATTTCCAACAAATTTTTATTGAGGTTACTTTGTGCCAAGTACCACCCTAAGCTTATTATCGTTTCAATTCAGTCAATCCTGACAACAACCAGAAGAAGTAGGGATTCCCAGGCCTTCCGTTTTGGAGGAAACACAGAGAGGTTGAGCAGCTTGCCGAGAATGGCCAGCTGGAAAGTGGTGGAGGCAGAATTCACACCAAGGACCACCTGGCCTCAGCCATGGTGCTTCCCAGGCAGCAAAGCAGGTCCCATGGTGGGATGACCACAGCTGCAGGATTCTAGACAAATGACTCCATCTCTGAATTTCATTTTCCTTACTTGTAGAAGGGAGGAGATAGTTGTCTATACCTCACACTGGTGCTTTTAGGATATTGTTACTGGGGAAAACTTCTATTTGAGGAGAAGTTGTTATTCCCCTTTCCGCTTTCGTGTGACTGTTCTCTCCATTTCTGTCTGTGTCCCTGGAAGAACCCCGGGCCCATCAGTGGGCAGGCTTGAGCCAGAATCCCAAGTGCAAGTGTCTTTCTGTGATTCCAAATCCCAACTCTGCCACCACAATTTTCAGGGATAGAAGAGGTGATTCCTGGTCAGCTGGGAACTTACCAGAAATGCCAATTGTTGGGCCCCACCTCAGGCTTACTAAATCAGATTTTAAGGGTGAGACCTTAGAATCTGTTTTCATCAGCCATCCAGGTAGTTTCTGATTCACACAAAAGCATTGGAGAACTACTGCTTTATTTACAACGCCCATCTATAGCAAAAAAAAAAAGAGGCTGAAGTAAAATAATTGAGTGTATTAAGAAATCACTGGCCGGGGATTTGTCTCAGTGGTTTTGCTACCTGCTGCGCAAGTGCAAGGACCTGAGTTCGATCCCCAGTACCGAAAAAAAAAAAGAAAAGAAAAGAAATCACTGTACTTTCTGGCACTCGAGACCTTGTGCTTGCA